CACACACACACACACACACACACACACATACACACACAGGAGGCGGTTTCCAGGCAGAACACACTGGCAGACTTGTGCAGCACGATGAAGTCAGAGCAAGAAACCGGCAAAACAGAGATCTGCAATGCATTGTGGGGGAGAGAGAAATGTACTATAACATTCCTGTGTTCAGTTCCCAAATGTTGTCCTTGAGTTCAGTTCCCACATTTTAATTCCTGAGTTTAGTTCCTTCATTTAGTTTCAGTGCAGGATTTTTTCAAGTTCAGTCACAAAGTGCAGACACTGGTTAATTCTCTTAAAGCTCCCATGTCATGCTTTTCCGGTTCTTACCCGTCCCCTTGTGTTATGAAGGTTTGTATGCATGTAAACGGTGTGCAGAGTCAAAACCCTCAAAGTACACCCTGTAGCGAGTAAAACTCTAACACAGAAAATACCTCCCCAAAACGCCTCGTTGGAGATACGTCACTGCCCATTTGATTCTTCCGGGTACCGCCTGATGTCATGCGGTACCCGGAACGAAATGGACCAATCCCGAAGAGCTATGACCACACCAGCAGCGGCGTGTTCCTCCTCCAGAGGTTCGAAGAACCGGCATTTCACAGACGAAAGCTTCCAAAACATTGCCCAGTTTGAGGCCGGATATGCACAGCTTGTTTGGACCGTTTGGAGCAGGGGAAGATCTGGGTATACAACCTGTAAGTTTGCATTGTTATTTGTGTATTTATCAAACAAGACTGTTTAAATGTGTAAACTGTGTTGGACTGCTAAGCCATTGACACAGTGCTAACTGTGCTAACTAAGTTGCTAGAGTTTCCATATATCAACTCTAATGTCAGCAGATGGCCTTGCATACATGTATCTCATAGCAGGAGAATGTCTGCAGTCACACACACGGAATACTCATACAGTATACTGTACTGTGATTTACCGTACATTGTGACCGTACATATACTGCATGTAGCTAACGAGGCTAGCTGTATGCTAGCGCAAAACAATGTATTCATGCAAGTTACATTGTATGGTAGCAGAATACCCGTATACGATTGCAATTATAAACACGTTATTGCTAGCCTAATATGAACCACTAGCTTTTGTTCATAGTAGTTTTATTACACTGCATTATAGTTGCCTTTCCTCCAAGCTAACGTTCATATCGTGTTAGCTACCAAGGTAAACAAAGCTAGGTTAGCATATTAGCAGGCAAGCTGTTCATTACACAACTACTACTAACGAATCTAAAACAACTAAGTTTCTCTAATATTTTGTGATTTGCATTTGATTTCGTCCAGCCAGATCCTGGCGGACAATCCATGACGTGCTAAAAGGCACTTCTACTACTACTGAGGCCTCGTGCTAAAAGGCACCGCACCGACTGTGCGCAGGCAAGAGGAGGAGGAATGGATGATATACCGTGTATATATGTATATTTATGTTCATTTTGTACATTTCTAAAAATAAAGTTTAATGGAAATACTTAGTAGGCCTATCCTTTCTTCCCTGAATTCATATATAGCAAACCATGATTTGATTTCTCATCAAACAGTAGTAGTTTATAACGGGTAAAAATAACTTACTCTTTGTTATGAGCGGCTCGTAGGCCACAAAGACAAGGAGACATACACGAGTTTACAAAACCACGGCACATTTATTGTGGTAAATGCAGATAGGTGGTCGAGAGGATCGCAGAGTTAGTCTTCCTGCAGCCGCTTTGGAGAGAGACTGGGGCCGTAGTGTCCGGAGGTGTCCGTGATCGTGCTGATTAGCCTCTTCAGCTCCACCCCATCGTAAGACAAAGGCCCTGGGGCCGTCACACTCTTCTATAACAACAGTTACAAATATATATGTATATAAAATATACGGCTGTGCCGACGCCATGATAAGACTGATGTTACGCTGAGAGCAGCCGGGAAAAGCACTGACATGGGCGCAGCCTCTCTGGTGGTTGACTAATCAGAACGAGTGGCCGAGCTGACCAATCGGAGCACACTAGGCTCACAGGGAGGGGGGGGCAAGAGCTCCAACGAGTCGTTTAGTGGAGAAAGTGAATACTGCTGAATACACATGCTTGACAGAGATGCTGTATGCGAAACCAATGTGAGTTTGGAAAATTGCACAGTATAAATCTATTTTAGTATACCTCAACAATGTAATTATGATCAGTGGAAATGGCCATGACATGGGCCCTTTAATTCATTTTTTGAGGTACGTCCCAAAATGTAGTTCCTTGAGTTTAGTTTTCTGAGATACATCCCTGAATTTAGTTCCCTAATTTGGATCCTAATGTTTGTAGGATGAAGTCAGAGCAAGAAACCATGCAACATAGATCTTGCATTGCATTGTGGGGGACAAATGCACTAATAGATTCCTGTGTTTAATCCCTGCGTTTAGTTCCTAAATGTAGTCCTTGAGTTCAGTTCCTACATTTTGTTTCATGAGTTTAGTTCCTAATTGGAGTCTCGAGGATTAGTCGATCGAGTTTAGTGCCTCATTTTAGTTCCCAAGTTTAGCCACAAAGTTTGACATGACATTTCATTACATTACATTACATGTCACTTGTTAGATGCTTTTATCCAAAGCGACTAACTTACTCAATACTGTGGGACAATCCCCACAGGAGCAATTTGGGGTGAAGTGTCTCAGGGACACAACGACATGCTGACTGCAGTGGGGTTTTAACCTGTGACCCCCTGATCCGAACACCAACGCATAAACCACTGCACCACACGCCTCAGTTTCTTACTTTGTATTTCTTCACCCTTTTCCCTCAAACTATTTTAGGAGAGTGCATTTAGGTAGACACGTTGTGCCTCTCTTCCTCTGTTTCTTACTTGTCTCCTCCTACCCCTGTTCCTCAGACCTATCCCAAGGGAGTAGACACATTCTGCTTCTCTATCTCCGAGGGTCGAAGTTCATATGAAGGGATTCCTTTGAGCGACATGCGCCGGCCCGTGCCTTACCTTGGACTTCTAATAGAACTGCTCGGGTCTTGATAGATTGAGTGGGGAAGTTCAGGAGATATCTGTAGAATATTTTGACGTCAGGTAAAGTTCCTTAATTAAGTTATTTGAGTTACGTCACAACATTTAGTTCCCTGAGTTTAGTTATCAGAGTTTAGTTATCTGAGTTTAGTTATCAGAGTTTAGTTATCTGAGTTTAGTTATCTGAGTTTAGTTATCTGAGTTTAGTTATCTGAGTTTAGTTATCTGAGTTTAGTTATCTGAGTTTAGTTATCAGAGTTTAGTTATCTGAGTTTAGTTATCAGAGTTTAGTTATCTG